AGTATTGATTTTCATCATCAGATCTGATATGGTTCTTCTATATGAACTTAAACTAGCATATGCAAACTGTGAGTTTGAACTTCAAGCGATGAGACATCGTTTTGAAGCCCTAGCACCGGGTAAGAACCTTGGTGGCGGTATGGGTAATGCTGGTGGAAGTACTAACAGTGTAAGCAGCATAGGGCTGGCTAACTCTATCGTCATGGCAATGGAAATAACACCAGTAGGAAGTGCAGATGAAGACAGTTTAGAACTACCACCACAGTCACCATCCAGGCAGAGAAAGGCAAGTTATATCTCAATTATAAAGTGTGATACTTTATTTGCTTCATTAGTTCACTTCAATTACAATTTTTTAATTACGATTCCATTGATGGCAATGTAGAAATGTTCATATATTCATATATTTTCACCGGAAATCATGTTTTAAAGTTTTAAAACATTACATGTGGTTATGGGCATTGACCAAGCATACCAACCTGATGACTCATGATGATGAAAAACTTTATTCATTGGGGGGGGGGGGGGGTTAGCCATGAAAATATTATATCAAACAAAATATATTTTTTTCAGTAAGGTCTTATTTTTATTTGATTTAATATTCAATAATCTTGAAAGATATAAAACTGTTTATATTCTAAGATATTATTTATTTTAATATTTGACACACACACTAATTAGATGATAAACCAATCATGGAATTTGTTTATTATGATAAAAAACATGGCAGTGCTCCATTCTTGACATTGAGATAAAAATTAATACCGATGATCAATATTATGGTTTTCTCTTTCTCTTTGATGGAGTCCTAACTCTACATTTAATATGCTCATAACTAAACAAATACAGTTCACATTTACCAAAAAAAAATGGTAAAAACTGCTAAATGTTAAATATAATGTAGGAAAATGTAGTGAGTGAGTAGTCCTTGGTAGTATTCAATAAACCCAGACGTTTTGGGTAATGGCCCTTTCTCTGTAGTATTCAAGTTAAAAGCTTGTAGAATTGAGAACTATTGTTTGACTTGTTTATTTTGTTTAGATGTCTGAAATCATTGATGTTGTTTCTACCGCTCCAAGTACACCAAGTACTCCAAGCTCAGTAAGTAAATATTGACAAATTCCTACCAACATAATCACAATTTCGTTGTTGTTGCAAGTTTTGTGTTGCTACTCCTGGTTTTTTTAAGTATACGTGTTGGATTAGAAATACATGTGCTTTGGTATATGTTATTTCCATTATCGATATTAACTTTTTATAAACAAAAATGTATACTTGCAAAGCAAACTTATTTTTGGCTTTATAAGTGCTCATCTGAATTAGCTTAGTGTTAAATATTTGTCTAATTCAGTGTAGTACTACATATAGTGTACAGTGATTCACCACAAATAGTTAACCCATTCACTACATCACTTTTTGTAACATTCCACAAACTAGTTCTGTTCTTAGATAAAAATGAGTTATCTAGCTTTGGATTGAGAAAATAATTCTTTTGTTCACTGATGTTTCAGATGAAAAGTTTCTGTAATCTTTTTCTTTATTTTTGGTCATTGCAGCAAAGAAAAAGACGTACACCACAGGAGCAAACAGCTGCAGTGAAGAAAATGAAAGGAACAAGGACTTGATTTTCGTTAAATCATTTTTGTTTAAAAGAATACTCATATTTTAAGACAGAAGTGCTCCTGAACATTGTATAAACAAAAAAAGGGAAGAATACAAATATTTGTATTGTGAGATCAAATGTGCATAAATCATCATTTGTTTGTATATACTGCCCTCTATTGTTTCAGATTAATAGAAACACAATTAAACCTAGAGAATTTTTATTCTTATTTTTCTTGTGACTATACTGGTGTTCTCTTCTATTCATGTAAGTTAAAGCGGGAGGGTTGTCACCTGCACACGCTAAAAAACGCAAAGGCTTATGGGTAGACGCTTGTTTGTAAACAATGACATGCTATGGCCATCTGACACATGCGCAGCTGACGACTCCCTCGCTTTAACTTACATGAATAGGAATATCATATTCGAAGGCTGTTTATTGCCATGCCAACTATCTGAGAGGATGTTCACAGCCATGGCAACTAGATGGGTGGCTGTTCACAGCCATGACAACTAGATGGGTGGCTGTTCACAGCCATGGCAACTAGATAATACTCATTAAAGAAGAAATTTGATACATTTCAAGACAGTACACATTATTTTATTTCTTCACACAAGAATATATAAATTGTCAACTCAATTATTGCATAGCAAAATAAAAAAAAATAATTGTACAGCATTACATCAAAACTATCCTCGTTAAATCCTCAGTGTGTGACTTTGATGGTTGAAAGCAAGTAAACAACACTGAATACACTCCAAAGTAACTACTATGTTATATCAAAGTACTGCATGCATGGCTCAAACTGACACTCGTATGTGACATTAATTGTACTAAATAGTCAGGGTCGTTGGCAGAAAGGTTGCTAGTCATGCAGCTAGGCGTTGTTGCCCCATACACTGCATCAGTTTTTAGTTGTGAACACAGTACATGTTTACTCTGATATAAGATAGTATTTATCTTGCTATCTCTTTACACGTAAATGAGTGGCTATGCTACTATAAATTCACTGGTAAGACAATTTATACAGCACAAAACAAGATACAAAGTAAAAATGATTCAGCATGTGTTAGGCAAGACATAACGCTGCTGTAGATAGCATAAATGCATCACTACAGAAGATGCATTGAAAAATGCTAGAGAAAATTACTGATGTGTGCTCTACTTAAAGTATCTCTGCAATAAAAGAGCACATTAACCCAAAGTTGCATTTGCTGGCTCATTACAATACAACTTGTTATGATTACACACATCTTTGTTGTGAACATAGTTAAAGGAGAACCGCTCAATCCCATGGATTGCACCATGTGCTCATGGGTAATTAACTCCGCCTCTGTCCACTAAGTAAATGAATGCTTATTATGCTCACTTACTCAAAGTGATTGACGGGCATTTTGCATACATTAGTCGCCATTTTAAACTCATGATTTTTACATGTCGCGGCACGTTTCAACCAAAAACAACATTTATACATCAAAAGCCCAACCAGATGAGTGTAATTGCTAGAGTACATATTCATGTCCCCGTAAAAATATATTTGGAATCACAGCTTCATCTCTAAACATCATAAATGGCACATTTCACTGAGCTCCCGCCACGATGTGAGCGGCTTGGT